GAAACAGATTTTATACAATATCTACAGCTATTGGTTTACATTACTGGTTCTTATTACAATATCTACTATTGGTATACATTACTGGTTCTCTTTGGACAATGTGATGAGTCTCCTAAAGGTCAGAGCATGTATATTTTATAAACATATGTTACCTCTTGTTCCCCATCATCCAAAATCTCATCCTTGTCACGTTTCTTGCGTTTATCTGAAGGGGGCGGAATGAAGTTCAGCATCTGAATGCAGTCTTCCAGGTAATATTCTGTAAAAAAAATATTTAACAGGTTCAAAAATACCGTATTTATAGGAAGTATGATATTTCCTTAAATTCTCAATATCCAGAGAACTAATTCTAACTGGAAAACATTTTCCCTGGCATATGAGGCACACTATTTATTTAACAGTTGTCATTGTCATTAAGAAATATATTACATAAAATTGTGGACATTTGTTTATCCCATAACTATGTGCATTTCTTCACTGATAATTGATGCATTAGAGCAGCAGCCTGATACAGAGAAAACTTGCTTGTTTCCTGCTTGATACTCCACCAACTTACAATGCCTGAAGTACTCACCTTGTACAGGATGAGTGCGGCCATACACCTAAATATGTAACACTGTCTAAAAGTCTCACCTAGTACAGGGTGAGTGTGGCCATACACCTAAACATGTAACACGTCTAAAAGTGTCACCTTGTACAGGATGAGTGTGGCCATACACCTAAATATGTAACACTGTCTAAAAGTCTCACCTTGTACAGGGTGAGTGTGGCCATACACCTAAATATGCAACACGTCTAAAAGTCTCACCTTGTACAGGGTGAGTGTGGCAATACACCTAAATATGCAACACGTCTAAAAGTATCACCTTGTACAGGGTGAGTGTGGCCATACACCTAATCATGCAACACTGTCTAAAAGTCTCACCTTGTACAGGGTGAGTGTGGCAATACACCTAAATATGCAACACGTCTAAAAGTCTCACCTTGTAAAGGGTGAGTGTGGCAATACACCTAAATATGTAACACGTCTAAAAGTATCACCTTGTACAGGGTGAGTGTGGCCATACACCTAAATATGTAACACGTCTAAAAGTCTCACCTTGTACAGGGTGAGTGTGGCCATACCACTAAATAGGTAACACTGTCTAAAAGTCTCACCTTGTACAGGGTGAGTGTGGCCATACACCTAATCATGTAACACTGTCTAAAAGTCTCACCTTCTACAGGATGAGTGTGGCCATACACCTACACATGTAACACGTCTAAAAGTCTCACCTTGTACAGGGTGAGTGTGGCCATACACCTAAATAGGAAACACTGTCTAAAAGTCTCACCTTGTACAGGGTGAGTGTGGCCATACACCTAAATATGTAACACTGTCTAAAAGTCTCACCTTGTACAGGATGAGTGTACAGGATGAGTGTGGCCATACACCTAAACATGAAGCACATCTAAAAGTCTCACCTTGTACAGGATGAGTGTACAGGATGAGTGTGGCCATACACCTAAACATGTAACACTGTCTAAAAGTCTCACCTTGTACAGGGTGATTGTGGCCATACACCTAAATATGTAACATGTCTAAAAGTCTCACCTTGTACAGGATGAGTGTGGCCATACACCTAAATATGTAACAGTCTAAAAGTCTCACCTTGTACGGGATGAGTGTGGCCATACACCTAAACATGTAACAGGTCTAAAAGTCTCACCTGGTACAGGATGAGTGTGGCCATACACCTAAATATGTAACACTGTCTAAAAGTCTCACCTTGTACAGGATGAGTGCGGCCATACACCTAAATATGTAACATGTGTAAAAGTCTCACCTTGTACAGGATGAGTGCGGCCATACACCTAAATATGTAACACTGTCTAAAAGGCTCACCTTGTACAGGGTGAGTGTGGCCATACACCTAAATATGTAACAGTCTAAAAGTCTCACCTTGTACAGGATGAGAGTGGCCATACACCTAAATATGTAACACGTCTAAAAGTCTCACCTTGTACAGGGCGAGTGTGGCCCTACACCTAAACATGTAACACGTCTAAAAGTCTCACCTTGTACAGGATGAGTGCGGC